ACAAACATCGCCAGCGGCATCTTCTTGCTGTTGGTTTTATGTGTCGTATCAAAGGTGATGGCGTCTCCAAAATCTTTGTATTCAACTCTCTGGCTTGCATGACTCCAGAATATGTTTTTGATCACTCCAGTCTTTGGATCTGCATCCACATCCCAGTAGAAATATTCGTTGTTCTCCTTGCATTCTCTGAAGAACTACAACAACTTGTTAAGATCATCTTCTCTTTCCTCCCTATTCTTCGCCGCCTTCCTGTGAACATTTAAAAAATATAGGGCAGTTTTTGTTAGAAAAAGTTCAGTCACATGTTTTTTTTGCAATTCAGATATGTGACATTTTGCAATTCAGATATGTGACATGTTGCAATTCAGTGAAAAAAAATTCAGCACGTACATATTCTTTATGTCCTTCTCTCTAAAACCCCACATATGGCGACCATCATACGATCCGCCATCACATTCAATCTTTGCTGATGTGGAACTCCGTTCCTTGTCATTATGTTAAATAAGTCACTCATGCCTTCGCCATGTTCTTGTGCAGCGTGCATGTATCTTGTCATCTTTGGGAGACGGCTCAAGTTTGTGGTTGTGGGCTTCACGCACATGGTCAAAGAACTAGAAATTGTGCTTCCCATCCTTCTTAACTTTCACATAAGCCGGGCAGCCGCATCTTCTCGATCCCTTTTCTATTTTTGCTTCTTCTTCTTTATTTTTGCTCTCATGTTTTCCTTCCCTGTTGCAGACCCAATGATTCGTCTCCTTGCTTGTTCTCGCTGTCCTCAAACCGAACCCAACCCAAACTTTGCATAATCTTTGTAAAATATGTAAGCATCATTTTTTGTAGAGAATTGCTTTCCTCACTCTTGGCACTAACACAATGGTATAGTTGATTCCCACAAAAAGAAAACATACAAAACATGTGTGATTTTTTTTTCAAAATAAAATGATGCAAACTCACCGAAAAATTCTCTGCTGCAATTACTACCATGTCTCTGTTGCAATTTATACCACATCCTAGTTGCAATCAGTTGCATTTTCTTTTTATCGATCCATGGAAAAGCCAAACACAGTGTGATTCAGTTTAAAACTCAAAGCCATGTGTAGCAATTACTACCACATCTCATTGCAATTACTACCAAATCTCTGTTGCAATTAGTTGTATTTTTTTTCGAGATCCATGGGAAAAGTCGGTGATGAGTTATTCATTTTAATCCCAAAGTCATGTCACAATTACTACGAAAGCCGTGTCGCAATTAGTTGCACCCAAAGACACAAATCATAGGTGATTCAAGCATTCAACTCACAGTACACAGACATAAGGGAGGTCAAGTGCTTTTTTTTTACGGGTAGAACAATTGGTTGGCATCTGAGTCACCATGTCCCCGAGCCAATGTCATGTCGCCGGCCGGCGTGAGTGTCGTCGTCGTATGGTGGAGGGATCGTTTGTAATTGCTGTTATCGGGGAAGCATGGGTGTCGACGACGGCGGAGGCTCTCTCCGATGTGCTCGAATCAACGCAGCGACCCTCTCTCCGATGCCGTCGGTGGATCACGCAGGCGAAGCGGCCCGACCTCGACGAAGCGACGGCGGCGTTAGGCCCCATCTCGATCTTTGCCGGGGGCGGACGCGAGGCGCTAGCGCGGCGGTGCAGGGCGGCGAGGCGCGCTGGCGGCAGCGGCGCCGCGAGGGCGAGCGAGCGCCCCCCTCAAGGCGCCCGCCGCCGCCAGGCGCGCCTCTCTCGCGAGAGAGGGGCGTGGGGTGGGATGCGTTTTTTCCTCCTCGGCGATCCCTTTTTCTGTTTTACATTGTATTTCTTACTTGCCGTTCAAGACATCTCGTGCACACGCATATATGTTGCAACCAGAACAGAATCGAGGTTGTAATCACAAGACACACGGCGTTGCAATTGGCGCTCGATTCGGACGAATCGGATACGCGTGGCCCATTTTTTGCGGGGAGGCGAGCGGCCCAAAAGCTGGCGGCTGCGCGCAGCCCACGCACGGGTGGATGCGGGACCGCCCAGAATGGGCGTGGCCTGTTTTTGTCGGGCGCGGGGGCGGGAGGTGTTTTTGTGGTCTGTGCAATTGCTATATTAATTGCACCTTGTTGCATTTTAGTCTCGCCATGTGTGTGTGTGTGTGTATATATATATATATATATATATATATATATATATATATATATATATATATATATATATATGCTGTATGCATGGAAAGGTATGGCATGGATGTTAATTGCTCGGCTTTTGCAGTGCCTTTATTTTTTGACATGGAAGTGCACTCCACTTACCACTGTTATTTTGGTATTTCTGCGGGTAGTCAACACAACAAGGTGGTTTGTCTAGCTTTCGGGAGTAAGCTGTGTCACTGCTCGTAACAGCTTGTTCTAAAAAGTTTCGCCCTCTTCGTTGGACTCATAAGCCATACTTTCTCTGCCAACGAACAATATTTTTCTCTCACAATAAATTAGTCAACAGTACTTTCAGTCATAGCTTATCAGCCAAACGAACATGCATTTGATGCTTCAGTTACATTACATGCATGTGTAAAGGGCGATCTCATCGGATCTGCAAAGCAAGATATGTGGTGGTATTTATCTGGATCCTTTTGGATAGAAACAGGTCTGCTTCGCTTTGTACAACCAACATCTCGATCGTGCTCATGCTTTACATGCTAGAGGTAGGCATCTTCCCCCTTCCTGTTAGTTTGTTGACGGGATATGCAAATACATGTACCCACTTTTTTATCTGTTTATTTATTTGTGAAAGAGTACGCATGCACATGAGTACAAAGTCAACAGGAAGAAAAGGCATGTTGGAACTGAAAGTATATCGAACGCCAATTGTTAATCTGCCACGCTGATCAAAAGGAGAAACATGTACGACTCCGAGTTAATTGTTTTTGTTTAAAGGACTAGACTACATAATGGCCTGGCACATGGTTTGCCAATGCAAAAGATCTACGGCGACTCTCAAATATGCATGGCTTCATCATAACCAAAAGGTCCGCATCTATATATCCCACCATGTACACCATCACATGCATATATACATCTTTAATTACTCTATCTACACCTTTCATGAACAAACATAACAAAGAGATGAGAGAATTACTATTTGATTAGTTACTTTAGTTTATGGTTACTGTTCTTTTTTCTAGCCAGGTATGATTAGTTTTTCTTGTAAATTTGCAGGGTTGTCATAATTGTTCCATTGATGAGCATCTACACAGTATATGACAATGACTGTTTTACAATTATTATGTTACAAAGATATTCCACCTGATGATAATATATTACTATTTACATACTAAATCCATTTTAAATTATAGTTCGTTTGACTTTTTTTTTGACTCTAAGTGTGACCACTCGTCTTATTCAAAAATTTGTGCAAAATATCACTTCTTTTGTTGTGGTTTGCTTTATTAACAAGAGTTCTTCGAGAATGAATTAAATTTGACTATATTTGCATAAACTTTTTGAATAAAACTTGACGTCAAAAAAATCAAACGAACTATAATTTAGAACGGAGGGAGTATATGATACGACAGACCCAAAATATTACTTCCGTTTAATAAATGGTCAAAACTAGAGATATTTTTACTGCAACCGGCCGGAGAGAACAACAGTAAATGTCACTACGATGTCGACATTACATTACCATCGTGTCTGCCAAAGTGTCACTGTTTTGTGCGTGCACAGCACCCGTGTCCTTGTTGCACGTACGTAAACAGGAAGTTTCACAGTACCTTCCCAAGTTCAAGAAGTTGGTCACGTGTTCACTACACACCTTAATTAGGTGCCTAGGGGCGGCTAGGGGTAAGATTAAGAATCACGCTGGCAAAAGCAAAGTGCTTTGCTCTGTAAGTAATATAAATAAATAACGTTCTTAGCCGGCATGCAAGCTCATTAGCTTCACTCGCAACTTTTGTACGGAATGTATTTTTTATGCGCAATGTAACTGTGCATATGATAATCGTGGACATGAAGCGGCAACAAAATTTGACTAGTGCTAAGGCGGCTGAAGTCAGGCTCAGCTCAGATCAGTTTGATCATCTCATCAACAATGGCTATAAAATTATCTATACCTACGTAGCTAACAAAACTCGCCTGATCATAACCGTAGATTACCGTAATGTTTCATCGTAGTAAACAGTACACACAGGCTCGACAAGCAAGGGGACGTCCCGGCCCAACCCACAGGGTAATCCAGCCGAGGGAGGGAAACTCTCCCGGGCTAGCCTGCAAGTTCATTTGGTTAGGGCCGGAGAGGGGAGCAATTTTAGCCCAACCGATGTTATGTTAGGCACTTCATTCTCCCTCTGAATACAGTTTAGAAAGTTAACTCGGTGTTTAAATGCAATTATATCTCACTGTCACAGAGATACCAAGAATGTCAAGCAGAGAGCTCCACTTTCAGAGTTGCGTGTCTCGGGATCAAGTTCAGCTCAAGCTTGACTTTTTCACAGAGAGCACGCGGACGACAGATTCCTGTGTTAAGTTTTCTTCACAATCTGAGGTGCGTGGTTTGACATATCCCGGATAAATAACAGGTTTCACAATTTTGGTACCCGGTTACATGGATGCTTCTTAGAAACAAATTTGCCACGACACAAGTTCATGCCACCCTTTGGAACCCAGAAATATTTTTCTGTTTCTTGCACTTTTTCTGTGAAAATAAACTGATGAATGTGAAATTCCTACACGGTTTGTAAAATTCCTGTCTTCCAAAGGAGTCCTAAAGCATGAAAGGCAAATCACAACCAAAGGAAAAGTATTATTTGATCAACGCACCGAGACAAGAAAGGAGCAGAACATTTTAAATAGTATATATACTTTTCTAGGTGAACCTCGGAAAAGGTCCATTCAGTAGTACCTGAAAGCATTTATTTGACATCAACTGAGCACAATCTAGCCAATACCATGCAATGGCCACCCTAAATATTTGGAGATAAGTTTGAGTGTCCTGAAGCTGCCAGCCATAGGCCTCCATCAATTGCAGGCTCACAACTTCACCATTGCGTTAGGTTGAAGAACAACATGCTGCAAAGAATTCAAGAATACTCTTTACTAGATGCACCAATAAAAAAATTATTGTCGCTAGAAAATTAGTCTATGCACTAGAGATGTTTACCTTAACCTGTGTCCGATTGTATGTGTAGGTAACATGTATGAGCTCATCCATAGACTGGATCACTGCAGGGTATGAAAATTCCATACCTTTGGTATCCTCTAGTGTCATTACTTCATCCCATGAGTCGCCGTCGTTTGAGGAGATTGCAATTTTGAGCGTTCCTCTGGAGAAGGTGTTGTAGGCAAGCAGTACTCTTCCATCCTTCATCTTAACTCCATCAATTCCTTCAGGTGTGCCGTCCAGGGGTGAAAAGTGAGAGCTAGCAAAAATTCTTTGAAAACTCATAAGCATGTCTTAGAACTTTCTGAAACATCAAACCATCAATTGATGGTCGCCACCGGGCCTTTTTAGATGAAGGAAGTTTATCTTCTAGCCTCTTCACCAACGAGGGATGCATACGGCCATTAAACTCCACAAGCATCTAAATAAGTGCACACCAGGATTTCCTGGTGGGTGGAGTCATGCACCCACAACTCCACCACCACATTGATGGTGCTTTTGTGGTCTTGAAAAAACCTTTTAAATGTTACTGCTACAAGGCTACTGAATCATGCAGAAAGCTCATTAAGCTCACCAGAATTTGGGTTTGGAAGCTCAGTCTCATGGACATAACTCCATGTCACACCTTCATCAACAGAGTCAGCCATACAGACACGTCCGATTGTTTCGAATGATCGCAGCAACACTCGAATAGTCCCATTGTCAGTCCGGTAGGGAACTGGCTGAATCACCCCAAGTGGTTGACCTTCTATACATATAGGGCCATACTTTCTCCATGTCCGTCCGGCATCTTTCGTAACCTTTGTTGATAAAAAGTTGTTAGGACATAGAACCATGTTGCAAAGTGCCAGATAGAGTTGATGTCAATTTTTACATGAATTTCTGAAAGAAATGAAACATGTAACTACCTCAAGCCATGCACCCCAAGAATTCCAACTTTCAACTGATGATCCACACAGTAGGCACCCATCTTCAAGCAAGAAAGGCTGCATCAGAGAAGTTAGCATTTGGTTGCATCTTAATATGAGAAAACATACATCATAATAGAAGGGACAGAAAACCAATGGAAACTTGTAAGATGTGAGTTAAAGAAAAATACCACATTTATACATGCCTTATTCTTAATAGGACCAAGGATACCAGGAGGTAACTGCTCTCTCTGTGACCAGGTTACACCGCCATCTAACGATCTTTTCATGGCACCGCTCCACCTGAATAAGTAATGTTCAGCATCAGATCATTACACTCCTTCAATCAGAGATAGTTGATCAACAGTCACAAATAAAAGTCTTACTTCTGAACTTCTTGACCAATCTTGTAGAAGAGAAGCAGCTCACGTGAGGGAAGTTGAAACAGAACAGGATTCCACATGGGCACCCCATCTTGTTCATCAGCGACCACTGGAGGATGCCAGTGACCATCCTATACAAATGTAATATTCCAAGTTAACTGCTCTTCTAGTTTCAGAGAACAAAAAAGAAGCATATTGGATGGGTTGAACCCACACTATATCTCTGTAACCAGATTTTAACATCTGGAGCACCTTCGCTGGATCCACCAAAATATGCTACCAAAAAATTGTCTTCCTCAACCTGAAAAGTCAAAATTCACATGTAAATAATTTCGATTTTCCAAAATGCTGTTGCATCTGAAGGCCATATACCTGTACAATAGTAGAAGCATGGCAACTACTGAAAGGGGCACCTCCAGCAGGAAATATGAGTTCTTCTTTCACAATGCACCACCCAGACGTCACATTCATAGTCATGTTGATAATGCTTTGGGTGTCCTCTTCCAAATTTTGTCCAACTTTCACCTTGCTGTCATTCAGGTTAGCAATGAAGTCAAAAGATGAATTACCAAGCCTATTAAACATAAAAAAGAAAAATATAGTTTCCTGAAGCTGTGAAAGGCAAGATAGAACTTACTCCTGAACAAGTCCTGAACTGCAGCCGATCTCAAGCAACGACCTAGCACTAGCAGATGCTATGCTGAAGTTGAAAGTTTTATTGTTAGAGAAGATTTTATGTGTTGAGACAGGAATAAAGAGGAGCACAGAAAATAGCAGGATGAAGGGTATAGCATTCCACACGTATTGTAACCTCATCAAGGCTGCAACAGTTTAACGTTAAAGATAAGTAAGCCATATAAGACAGCCTTTGCAATACCAAGTACAACATATCCACTAGCCTAGTTTTCAGAATTGCTTTAAGGAACAGAAGATTGCAGACAGCTAACAATTTCTTTTCTTAGGATTTCAGTTACGCCCTACTGTCGCAGGGAAAAAAAACTACTGTATATATCCTAAAAATGGATACTAACTCCCCATCACATCACAACTGCCATAAGAAAAAGAATTCACGTTGGCAGTAGGAAGCGAACGAACATGATGCATTGCTGGCATAGGATATCACACCCGCTGCTTCACATGCAGTGTGCCAGTAAATCACTTGGATGCGCATGTAATCACTCTTTTGAGGCCATTCCATTTCCATCTACACCGACCACCAAGAATACCGCCCTCATCATCTCAAAGAGAAGAAGAATCGAAGAATTCTTTCAACAGGGACACACACGTATCGATCCTCCACCTACTGCGAAGACACGGCGGGATTACGGGTAACCCGAGCAATATCCACGAATTAACCGCACCCATTTAGCCATTTAGGCCTAAAAGAAACGACAGGGGGAGAGGGATCACCATCCAGCAGAGGAATCGGCGGCTGTGCGCCCACGGCTGGCTCGGGCGTCGGTCGGGCCGGCGGCGCTGCAGGCTGCAGCTGCAGCTAGCAAGTTGTGGAAGCGAGGCGCTCGCTTCGCTGGTTCCGGCTCCGAATGGGGTCGCGCCGCTGCGGTTCGGGGCGGCGTTGAGGGCTACGGTTGGTTCGTCGGGGCAAGATGCGGCAGCTACGCCGCAGTGACTGCTGTAGTCGTGTCTGTGGGTCAAGCCCCCGGAGACAGGAATGAATGATGACGGTGGAGAGTGGAGACGAGGGAGAGTCAATAGTGGCGACGACAGACAGTGATTTGTCAACCAAAAAAAAAAACCCGAACCAAACACACTCAGGCTCAGCTCCTATAATGCACTATACACTTCATAATAAAATTTGTCAACAAATATATCCATGCCTCCATGGTTTCTCTTTCCTTCCCCTATCCTTGCTGGGTGCAAAATACTACTCCCTCTGGACGACAAGTCGTCAAGTCGATGACATACTTCAATCGTAGAAAAAGGCTGAAGATTTGTTACGGATACTAACTCCCTGACAGTAGCTGTCTTAAACAAAAATGAATTAAGCAAGACAAATGCATTATTCTTTCTGGATGTTCTGTAGTGATGATCGTTATCTTTTTCTTATGTTAGAATTTGACCACATAAAAAGAGCTCAACCCCAGGAGGAACTAGGCAGTTTTTCAATAAATAAAAAGAGAAAAAAGACTTGAACCTAGGTGGTCAGTTAAGCTAGGCTCACTTCCTAAAACAGCTCAACCAGAGCAATATGTTATCACGACAAGAGAGAAAGGGATAGAACTGCCAGATAAGGAACAGCTGTGCACATGTACACCTTTCTATTCAACAAATCTTTAATAATTTTACAGTATAAGATGTGCCTACAAAAATCACTCTTGGTAGTTGGTTCCCACCCTAGTCCAGAGGGTAAAATGACACTCGTTCTGGAACAAATTTTGAACACTAGCGTAGCGTGCCACTCTTTTTGGGAGCGATGTAGCATCTGTTAAAAATGTAGTTGCAAACATTTCTTCAGCAACAACCGAGTAGCACAATACAATCAGGTAATCTAGCCCGTATGATGTAATGGTTACACAAAGCTGGTGGAGAAAGTTTAAGTGGCCCGATGTGGCGATGTTGCGAACCATGATCCTCCCATAGTTGCGGAATCACTTCACCATGGCACCAGGTTTGATAACAATGTGCTGCAAGGCACAAGAAGACTCTTTAGAAAATGCAATATCAACACACACAAAAAAAACCACTATTGCTGCGAAGATTACTGTTTCATTATGCATGAATCAGGGAAATCACCTTAATCTGCGTTCGGTTGTATGTGTACGTCACATGTATGAGCTGATCCATAGTCTGGATCACTGCAGGATATGAAAACTCCATACCACTGGTATCCTCCAGTGTCATCACTTCGTTCCAAGAATCACCATCATTTAAGGAGACTGCGAGCTTGAGCGTTCCTCTGGAGAAGGTGTTGTAGGCAAGCACCACTCTTCCATCCTTCATCTTAACTCCATCAATACCTTCAGGTTTCAAGTCTGGAGAAGTAAATAGAGAGATAGCAAATATTTTTCAGAAATCTGTATGTATGCCTTGAAGGCTTTAGGGAACTTCACCAGAATTTGGGTTTGGAAGCTCAGTCCCTCGCACAAAACTCCATGTCACACCTCCATCAAAGGAATCAGCCATACAGACACGCCCTATTGTCTGAAATGATCTTAGCAGCACTCGAATAATCCCATTTGCAGTACGGTAGGGAACTGGCTGAATCACCCCAAGTGGTTGTCCGTCTACATATATAGGGCCATACTTTCTCCATGTACGGCCGGCATTTTGCGTAACCTTTGCTACTAAAGATTTTGTCAGAAGCGAGAGGCATTATGCAAGAAACACTAGCTGTTACTTCGTAAGTGTCAAATTGTAAGTCATTTTAGCTTTGTCCTAAGCCAAGCTACTCTAGTTTTAACCAAGTTTATAGACAAAATTCACAAACATCTACAACATCAAACTAGATTTATTACACCATAGAATATATTTTGATAGTGCAATTATTTTATATTATAGATAAAGGGGCGTACCCAGTGCAGAGAGCTCCCGCTCTGTGCGGGGTCTGAGGAAGGGTGTTAGTGGCAAGCATTACCCTCGCCTGTGCAATGCGAGGAGACCGTGACTCGAACCCGGGACCTTCCGGTCACAGGCGGTAAGACTCTAACGCTTGCACCAGGCCCGCCCTTATATTATAGATGTTAATGTTTTTTTATAAACATGGTCAAAAAGACAAGTTTGAATAGTGGGAGCAACTTCTACATGATTTCTCAAAGAAAGAACAGAGGAACATCCGGATACCTCAAGCCATGCACCCCAAGAGTTCCAACTCTCAACTGATGATCCACATAGAAGGCGACCATCTTCAAGCAAGAATGGCTGCATTTGGGATTTAATTAGTTTTGCAGAAAACATAGCATCCAAAACTGCTATGCTATGATGTGACACAGAGCAAAAGACAACGAATTTTGACATGCCTTGTTCTTAATTGGACCAAGGATACCAGGTGGCAGCTGCTCTCTTGGTAACCAGGTTAGGCCGCCATCCATCGACCTTTTCATGGCACCACTCCACCTGAATGAGTTATAGTTAGTCTCAGGTCATCCAATTCATCTATCTCTTTGGGTCAGCCTAGTCTAAGGGGACAGATATAAAAAATAAAGGTTATACTTCTGGACTTCTTGGCCAATCTTGTAGAAGAGAAGCAGTTCACGAGAGGGAAGCTGAAACAGAACAGGGTTCCACATAGGCACCCCCAATTGTTCATCGGCCACTACTGGAGGATGCCAGTGGCCATCCTAAAAATGTAAGTTTGTTAGTAAAAACTAAATCCTGCTCTTCTAGGTGTAAAAAAAATACTGAAGTATGTTTGATGAATTGAACCCACACTATATCTCTGCAACCAGATTTTGACATCCGGAGCACCTTCCATAGATCCACCAAAATATGCCACCACAAAATTCCCTTCATCAATCTGATTGGGCAAACTTCATATGTGAGTGATTTTCATGTCTTCTTTAAAATGCTATTACATCCAAAGGCCATGTACCTGTACAATAGTGGAAGCGTGACAGCTATTGAAAGGGGCACTTCTAGCAGGAAATGTGAACTCTTTCTTCACAATGCTCCATCCGGATGTCGCAATTGTAGTAATGTTAGTAATGTTTTGGGTGTTTTCTGCCAGCCTCTGTCCAATGACGACCTTTCTGTAGTTCAGGTTAGCCACAAGCACAATGGTTCAAATCTGAAGCCTACTAAAACATAATCAAAATCGAAATAGAAAATAGATAGTACAGAGCTGGCTCAGGCTGTTCAAAGACAAATCAGAACAGCACATACTCATGAACAAGTCTTGAATTGGCGTGGATCTCATGCAATGACCTAGAGACCAATGTTGTGAAATTGGAATGTCTCTTGCTGTGGCAGATCTTATGAGGTGAATCAAAAGTGATGAAAGCATAGAAGAGCAGTACGCAGGTTATAGCGTTCCATACTAGTTGTAGCTTGCTGGTACTGTGGTTGGTAAGCATTGCCATATATAGGTTGCGTTCCTACAAAGTTGCATTGGGTTAATGTTGAAGATAAGCAAGTTTATAGGTACAATCCCGCAGAACCTACAAAATTGAATAAACTTGTACACAACAGAAATTACAAAGCAAGATATCCATACACCAAATGTAGTATACCAACCATTACAAAACAGAATTTTACTTCAATCATTCAATGAAGGAGGTAGAGTGGGAAACATTTTTTTCCCTTAGGCATTCCATTGTATCATACTAAAGAAGCAAAAATTCACTTTCGTGCTTGTGTAATCACTCATCTGAACCAATCCATAATCCATACTATAAAAAAAATTAATCATCACGTGCTTGCAACTATTTAAAAGATCTGTACTGTATCAGTTAAAGAGAGAGACTGTGTGTCGGACGTATATGCATATATGGATGGATTTGTAAATATATTTGTATCTCATTCATATGCGATACCAAAAGAAGAAGAACTATGCAAAGAGCCTGTAAATGGTGCGAATTTTGAAACAACTAACTTGTATGTAGGGTAGCCAATTGTAAGTAAATTAAACTGATTAACTTGCAAAATTTGATGAACCGCAATGTCCTAGTTCGTAGGACATGCTACGGATAGAACCACGCACCTCACGGAACCGTTAAGATCTGCACCCACGACCGCCTGCGTAGGCACCAAAATCTGGCAGCCGATAGAACCGTGCGCACTGGATACGATATGGCATCGGACCAAAAAACCCAAATGCCCAACCCAGTGCTGCAAAAAAATGGGACGGGATGAGAGGGAGAGGGAGCACCTTCTGAACAGAGCAATCGAGCGGGAGCGACGGCGTTCAGCTGCGGGCGGCGGCTCGGTGGCGACGGTGAGTCCGCGGCGGCGCTGTGGCCTCGTAGTAAGAGTGTGGCTGTGTGGGCCTCCTAAACTGCTAACGGAATCAGGCTGCTTGGCTTCCTGAGTTCCTGATCATTTATTAGTAGTTCTCTGATGCAATAATCCTAGTGGAGAAGCAAAGTGGAGAGTAGGTAGGAAATGATTATAGCGAGGGATTGAATAGAGAATGCTGAAAAGTGACAGCTTTTTTTTAGCTTTCAGTTACCAGTGTAAATAGAGAAGTTATTCTTATCTCATTCTCATCAGAACCTGTGAACTTTTATTGTTTGACTGAGAAGAAGTAACCCGAGAATTTTCTCTAAAAAGTGCTGCAAAGGGAGGTCGTTGTATTCAGTTTTTCAGAACGCGCTCAGTCTTACTGCAATCCATTGCCGATCTTTCGCGGCTGCTGCGCAATTTTTCAGCAGCGTACATGTGCGATGCCAGACGTCCTCTGAGGTCTAAGCTCCCGCCAGCCGCCGCTGCCCTTTTCTGCGTCAAGGCAAGAATCACGGCTCGCCTCTCACACGAGTCTTCCTGTTGCCATTGTGTTTAGTACCCATCTGGGTGCTGCTGTAGTCTTCCCTCTTCTGAGTGTCTATCTGTAACTTAGATGTTGCTTTAATAAGTATCATTATAAAACTAAGGCCAATTCGTTCCGGTGAACAAAACAAAAGAATACTGATGTTGATGCCATGGTAGATGGTACTCTTCTTCGCCCTGATCACGTGAACTTATTCAGAACTATTTTTCAGTCATAGAACAGTGTTTTTCCTCTCACAATATTTCAGCATCAGCATCAGCATAAGTCAAATTTCAGCATAAATGAACAGTTACCTAAAGAGCGAAGAATCCGAGTAACGAACCACCCAACAATTCTCCTACCAGATGCACTGTTCACACACATCACTTACCCTGGACACCAAGGTTTATTATCCGCAGTTTTCAGGACCTGAACTGGTACAAGATCTCATTTTGGATTGACACTAAAAGTACTTCTACCACAAATTCCTCGGGGCTTCCAGGATAGTGAACTACATAGACACGGTGGGAATGCTTATTGATGATTTGATGAGTGGTTGAGTGATCTGATTAGAGAGCAGCGATGCACTCGATCTCAATCCTGGCATTCAGTGGCAGTGCTGCCACTTGGTAGGTTGAACGTGCAGGTGCAGGTGCCGGGAAATCTGGAACAAGAATGCAAATATCTTACAGGAAAAAAAAAGGAAAAAGAAAGGTTAAGGATATGACATCGAGAATCTGATTATGGTAATCTGAACTAAAGCACTCTCACAGCTCCGTGGTTAACAGGAAGGGTAATACAGCTCAAACATACATTTGCCATAGATCTCGTTCACTTTCTTGAAATCCTGCAGATCAGCCAACCTGCGAGTAAAAGAATAGAATCACACATGGAGAAATCAAAATATCTTGAGCAAAACAGAAGTCCCTTGACCCATGTAAAGAACATGTGCTTACATGATTGTTGTCTTCACAACTGAAGAATAGCTAGCACCACTTGCTTTCAATATCTCGCCCATGTTCTTCATAACCTGTGACAAAGAGAGTATGTTATAGCAGATACACCAGATAACAATTTTCTGAATGCAAACTTGCAAAGGCAACATATGTTACTGCAGAATGTCATACATGATATTTCATTTCTGCATTTAGCATATGTGGATTTAGTATCAAAGTTCTAAAATATTGCCAATAGGTTTTTATATAGCACAAGCAAATCATGTTAATTACTTTAACAGAGATGTCTGAAATATGTTTCTTATGCCAAATCAATAGATACTGTGAACAACTGAGAAACTGAGTCACAAATGATATATATTCACATCTGGGAATCAAAGTTTTCACCTGCTCAGTTTGCTCCTCAACATTTTCAGAGACAAACTTCCCGGTCTGAAAACAGAAAGGCGCATTAGTTGTGTCATCACCTATAACCAGCATACTAGCCGATACAAGCGATGCAGAAAAAACCAACAAAATGGTAGAACAACAGTCCAAAAGCAAACCTCAGGATTCAATCCAAGAACTCCAGAAACAAACACAAGATTGTTTGCTTTGATGGCCTGAGAATAAGGGCCTAGTGCTGCCGGTGCCTTCTCTGTCTGAACAGCCTCCTTTACAGCTAAACAGAATTCCCAAAATTCTCATTATAGCATATGAAATGGTCAAGATGTTCAAATTCTATTTTAGACTTCCCCCTCAAGAGAGAATCAAATGCCCTGCAAAGTTGCCATGTGTAGGACTGTAGGGGAAAGAACCAGTTTCGTTTATTTGTTCAATAGCATCAACTCGCAACTCATAAACCATGTTAACTATGTTTTGGGTTTGTAGTTGTCCTTTAGTCCAGTTCCTTTCTTTTATGTTTGAAAACATCAGGGTCAGGTGAGCAATTTTTGTCCAGGTTAACTGCATTTTCACGGTGTGCTAAGATTTTTTGGATGAGTCTCTCTATGACACTTTGAAATTAATTTCATGATTCTCAGTGACATATAAGGGATTGCGAAAATTTTCAGCAGCACAATAGACGCCTAATTGCATTTTAAAGAGGTATAGCACTGTTCTAGCAAACTGTCACTACTAAATAGTAATCATTCAGCACTTGTGAGAGCAGTTTCTTACATAGAAGTATAGAACCATGTGTATCCCAGATTTCCAACCGAAATGAACACCAACCACCTTCATGTGCGCTTTGTTCCCAACACATTCAGCATTCCACTAATCCTCTTGGTATCAGAAAGTAAACCTCATTGCTTTTCTTACCCTTTAGAAAATTAAATCATTTATCTATGTTCATATTGGCCATTGCTGGTGTCATACGCACTGACCAAGTGACCATCCAGCTAAATCAGCAACCAATAGCCTTTTTTATTGGTTAACGATGAGTAAGCTCGCACTTCTTATTGCACAATACAAACTTTATCGCATTTTCATGCTGGCAGAAATGTTGACCAGCAAATTCAGCAAGGCACATATTTAGCTAATTATTAGCATGGATTAGCTGACCCTACAATCGAATCGCTGCAGCAATCCATCCTCCGTTTTCAAACAAGAAAGGATGACTAAATTCGCAGCTTCACATTACAAACAATACGTTTGAATATGAAATAGGATACGACCAGATGAACAGTAAGCGCAAGGAAACGACTAGCAATCCGCGTGTCTGTTGGCGACAGGGGAGCGGGAGGCGTACCGGTGGCGGAAGTCGAGAGGGACGCGGACACGAGGCGGCGGCTCGCCCTGGAGAAGGACAGGGAGGAGCGGGAGGCGGCGGCTCCGAGCCTGACGGAGATGGGTGCCGCGGCCGGAGAGGTGGCGGCGAACCTGGAGACGGCGGCGGCGCTCCACGCCATGGCTAGAACCCTACCAACTGCGAGCACGGGCGAGGGCGTTGGGAGTTGGGACGATGGGGGTGCGGGGGATCTTGTCGCGATATGGGTGGGTGCGATCGTGTGCCCGCCTGTGCTGTACTACTAGTAGTGACGACTGACAAGCGCGGAGGGTTTGCTTGTTCGTCGGCGGCCTTGGATTTTTTTTTTTATTTTTTAACACTTTTTTAAAACTATTTTCAAATTTGATGCGGTATATTTTTTATTTTCAAATCTAACATTTTTTGCTTTCCCTACTGCGGTAGCGCGGCCAAACCACATTGCCGCGTCATGCATGGCGATACGGCAGGGCTGCCACCGTGGCGACGACCCAGGCACTTACCGGTGACGTGGCCGGCTCTGCCGCGCCGCCGCACGGCGCGGCGAAACCGGGTAAAAGCGGAACGCCCAAGCTCCTCCTCCTCCTCATCATCACTCTCTGTCAAGGCCCGGCGCGCCTTTACCCTTGGCGGTGGGGGCTCAGCCTGCAATCCCTCGCTCTCCCGGGCGGCCCACCCACCCGACCTCCCTAGCTGCCTACTTCCCTCCTGCCACTGACCTTCTCCTCGGCCTCGATCAAGGTATTGGTGCTCTTATTTATTATTTGAACCGTGGATTCAAAGATTAAGATTGATAGCTAGGGTTTGGAGGAATAGTATGTTTATGAACAATGGGTACTTAGGGTTTGGAGGAAAGATTAGTTCATTTTCTCTATGTGAAGGCTAATTAGTTAGTTAGAACTATGGATACCATGTTTAGATTAAGGTTAATTTTGGTGCCTAAGTGTAGGTTATATTTTCTTTGTTTGAATGCAGATGGTTCACTTTTACATTGCTTTAGTATTTATTTTGTTTTACATTAATTTGTGATGTTGTGATTGGTTTTAAATTACAACTGTTTTGTTAGATGCAAGACATGTATCGGGAGCAGTTATGGCAAAAACGGGGTCATCCTAGAGAATTGTACCCCGACGTCTCCAGCAAAGATGCCCCCGTCCCTCCTAACCTCCCTGTCCCTAACTATGACTGTGGTTGTCCGACCGAGGTGTTTCAATCGAGACATCTAGACACAGCTGCGCGTTGTTTCTACACATGCAATCATTTTAATATAATTAATTCGTTCCTTATCTTTTTATCTTTATTTGTGTTAGTAGGTTACTAATATTTTGTTGGAATCTTGTTGTGTAGGACCATGAGAGGTGCTTTTTCTTTCAGTGGATCGATGGTCCAGACAAGTTTGACCCAAGGTACCTCCTTTTCAACTATTGGTGAAGAGAGACATCCACGTGAGCATTTCAAGCGGTGGGTTCCACCTCTCCCTAACCCCTTGCAAATGACGGCTAAGGAGAAGCACTTAGCCACAGTTAGATGACTCGAGGAACCTCCTATGTGCGATTACAGAGATCGATCTATGATAAACCTGTAACACGCTCGGTGTTATACTGTATAGTCTTTTGCTAAAACACTGCATGAGCATCATATTTATGTGTAAATGTGTGTAATATAGTGTGTAAAGCAATATACGTAACTTGAAACGTTCATCAGAAACGCGAAACGAATGTTAAATTTCATGTCGCGTTGTGTCACTTAGGGTTCTAGATGAATTTTTATTAAACGAAAATGCTATAGAACGTATACCCGGCACTTTAATAAAGTTGGTAGTACAAACTTCGTAGGTGGCGATGAAATACTTACGGTCGAGAACGGGATTCGCTAGATAGCTTACTTAATGGCTTGGAAATCGAAGTTGACGTGAATCCGAACAAAAACTTAGTCATTTTTTAAGTCGAAAAATGGATCGACGAAGCGAAGTTTATGAATTTTTATAGGAGAATCGGTTTAAGTAGTAGCCTGATTTTAGGGTTTGTTTTAGTAGCTTGACATCCCATCTCGAGCGTTAAATAGTTAGTTTAGCTACTGGATCATCGAGTTGGATTTTTTAGCAGCTTTAAAAATCGTGCATGGCACGTTCCGGCCGGTGTCAACGTCTGGACGCGGTCACTGTCTCGGTTCGACTCGGCGTCGCGGCTCTAGCTTGCCTAGCCGCGCACCCGCCCCACCGCTATCGCACCCTGACGCGTGCACCCACACCACCACTGCTACGCCCTGGCATGCCACGCACACGCATGCCGCGCCCGGCGACCTGGCCGCTCGGCCACCATCGCCGGCGTTGTGGGCCCGCTGCTCTGGCTTGGCCATTGCCGCCGCTTCACCGTGTCGCTGACCCCGCGCGTCGCACCACTGCACTGCTGCTGGCCGTGGTCGCTTATGCGAAGCCGCCGCGTGCGCCCTGCCACCGTTGTCGCGTCCGCCTGGCCGCTCTGCAGCCTCGTGCTCGCCTGGCGGTACCGTGCGCGCGTGGCCATGTTTGGCATTGCTCGCACGTCGCCTTGCCTCGCCTACCTTGCCGTCACATCGGCGCTCGACGATGATGCGCTGCTGCCTCCTCTGACCGGCGCCATGTCACTATGGCACGCAGGGCCGAGCCGCCATCAGCAGTTTGCGAATTATGGCCGTGCGGCCCACTGTCCTGAGCGTGTTGGTTGTTTCCCCATCGCCCTGTAGCCGTACGCAATCATGCACTGAATTGACAGCCGTGTCGCGCCACGGCAGCGACGAGCCAAGCCACCCCAGTCTTCCCTATTCCTCTATCGCCGTTGTCACCAGACCTGCTCCCCTCAATTCGGGTCAATGGAGCCACCTTAGTCCAATTAACCCCGTCCACGGCTTCGCGGTGTAGTCAGCCAACCACCCGACCCCAACTCGCAGTGAGCATTGCTGTGCCACGCTCCAATTTGGAGCTTTTCTCTCGCCGGGTCGTTAAGACCGCCGTGGCAAACGTCGAAGGCAAAGCCCCCAGTCTAGTGCTGCTCGCTTCAATTCATTGCACCGCCAGCTTCGCCTCCACTTGTTAATCACCCTGCGCATCTTTACCTAATTGCTACCACCGCCTAGCCTTCCCTGACGCAGCCTTGCCACCATCGTGCGCCACCGCACCGTCCGTGCGCACGTGGCCAGCTCAGCTCAGGCCACCTCCGGTCGAACCGCCACCGCTTCTAGGTCAGTGGTGAGTGCCAGGAGCTCACTCGCTGTCCTATTTATCTTGGCATTGTTATAGCTCACTGGAACATCGCCGTTTTCAGTGCAGGAGCTCCACCACTGTGGTCCGGCCTTGCTGCGGTGTCCCAGCTCGCGCTTCCTTCGGCTAGTGCTTCGTGTTCATGCCTAGACAGGCATCAGCTCTGTACATAGGGCGGGGAGAGACTGGTGTGGCCGGCGTAACCGCCCAGTGCCAGTGCTGCCGCGCCGGTGCGCGCACGGGAGGCCGAGGATATGGCCATGGTAAAGATAGAAAATGGGAGGGGCGTAGTTGTAAGGTAGAGGAGTAGCGAAATAGTGCTCTTAGTGCTCGCATGATTATCGGGTAGGCCGAGGGCATTTTTGCAAGATGACCAGCGCGCGCGGGTCCTCCCTGTTGTGGGCCATCGTCGCGCGGACTGGGCCGCGCCCCTGTGTGGGCTGCGCCGTGCGTCACGCGCATGCGTTGCGCCGACCTGGGCCAGGCCATCGCGTTTTGGGCCACGCGGTGGAAATCGATTTTTCATTTTCCAGTGAATTAGTAAAGGCTTATTCAATTTAGTTTTGAGCTAAACTTTGATAAATTGTAGTAAATCTTATAGATGTCAAAAAATAGTAAAACAAAATTTGTTAGGTTCACAAAAATGCCATCTCTCTATTGGTGTAGTTAGTTTATAGTTAGCTGTGATAATGATAGGTTCATAAATTCAATTTAGAAAGCTTAGTATTATTTAGCCTAATATTTGTAGGAATTTTTGTGGCAAATTGATGATAGCTTTAGTCATAAAAATTTTATAGTAGGTTCATTAGATTATTATGTACTCACTGTAATTTTTGTAGCCCTAGCGTAGGTTCATAAATAGAGTAGCTAGTAACCCTTGTTTATCATATATAGAGTAAATCGATATTAAGAGTAAGGATGCCTTTAGTTGATAAGATAATATATGTTATACTTCATACTTGTTAGTGGTAACAGTAGGTAACTTAGCACCTTAGTCGTTAGGACTAGCTTAGTAGCTTGATAGATGTATTTTATTTTAAGAGTTGTTGTTGCCATATTACTAAGTGTTGCATCATCATTTTATGCATGTAGATCACGAGTTGGTAGAGTTCGTGCTTGTGGATGAACAGGACTACGAGGAGGTCTTGAGAAGTATGAGGATGAGATCCTCATGCAGGAGGGAGCCCTAGAGCCTTTTGGTGCTGACTTTGTTGACCCACCGCCTGCCCAAGGCAAGCCCGGTGCATAACCCATATTTTATGATCACTGAATATATATATGGTGTGCATTTACGTTACAAGCATTTTATGGAAACTACATGCATAAATATATCTACCTATGAGTCCTACTAGTATAGGTCGAGTAACTGCTATACTCAGGATTGCGGTAGCGTGAGGAACCTGCCATTACTCACAATAGGTGATAATTATGATCACTCATGATAAATGGTGGAAAGGAAAAGTGGTGATCGGGCAAGGATATGGTTTGGGTACTGGTGGGTGTAAGAGGTTGTGTCCTGCGGCCAACAGGGCATAGCTTGATTACACTTTTTTCCTGTCTATGTTGGTTAAGGACCGTCCGTTGCATAAGTCTCGAGGCAAGTCACAGATTTATTATCCTAAGTACATACTTGGGTATGGGCGCAGGGAATGATGTAGACATGGCCCGATCTTCCGATAGCTATGATAGCGTCGATTGGTGGAGACTCGACGTCCACGATCTAGGCTTCGAACCAAGACTGATTTGGACCCCTACAACCGTTACACCACTGCTCCGTTGGTTATCAACCACGCGAACGCGATTGACCTCGCCACGAAGGCTTTCCTACAAGCGAATCGAGAACACAAGCAAGAACGGGATGATCACAATCTGAAATTACAAATAAATATGAGGCTTATGATAATGAG